CCAATACGACAGGTCATACTTATAGATAGCAATATATTGTAACATAGGGTGTGGGTGAGTGTGGGTGTGGGTGGGTGTGGGGTGTGGGTAGGTGTGGGTGTGGGTGTGGGTGGGTGTGGGTGTGGGTGGGTGTGGGTGTGGGGTTGGGTGTGAGTATCGGAGGGTGTGACTCTTTTCTTTCCCGTCTGCCACACTCACACCCACACCCACACCTACACCATACTTCAACCACACCCACACCCACACCTACACCATACTACAACCACACCCACACCCACACCCACACCTACACCATACTACAACCACACCCACACACCCACACCACCCACACCCACACCCACACCCCACACCCACACCCACACTCACCCACACCCACACTCACCCACACCCTATGTTACAATATATTGCTATCTATAAGTATGACCTGTCGTATTGGCGAGTGTGCAAAACTTGTTCTATATGTCGAAAGATGCCAGTACATGAATTCGAGAATTCTAAACTTTCTAAGGTAATATAATTACGTCGTTTAGGCAACACATGCACGTGTGTGCTAGTTCAGAGTGGTCTTTTGGTGAGCTGAAAGAGCATTTTTACCGGTAGTTGCATTCATTGTTTACGAAAGATTGTGACCGTATTCATGCACTCTTCAGTCAGACTCACACCACATTCAACAAAATCAAGACAGGAATAAACAATAAACAAAACGTGCGCCTGTAAAAGAAAAACACTTCCGTATATATTGTTCATACATCACCGATTTCAAAGCAAATAGAGCTTTAAAAATGAAAAACCTTTCCAAAGTTATTCAGATCCAAGTAACATAAGCTAAAAAAAGTGATCGCAAAGTCAGCGAAAGATATGAAGTTTCCGATCCATTTTCCAGTCTCAACTATGATGTTAACTGATTCATAAGCACTAATTTACAGAGTGTAATGAACTTCGGAACTAGTTAGTAATAGTAATAAAGTCAAAATCTAACTGCAGATTTTGATTCTCTGAGTATGATTACCCTTTGGTTCAGTTTTTTAAAATTGAAATTTGAAATTTGAACCGAATCTGCTAGTTCTACGTGTATGATATTTGAATTAAAATTTAGTTTGGTCGTTTTCTGCGGATTAGAATTAAATGTAAATTCAATAAATGCATCTAGCGGATAATTATTACATGATTCTGTTTCACGAGGGTTAAGAGTACCAATATTCACTTCCCCATCAACCTCACTCTGATTTTTCATCTCCTAATACGAGCATTAAAATAATAAATATTTACTAAAGTAATGATTTTCAGGACTCTTTCGAAACGAAATGAGCATGCGAGAGAATAAAAACGACTATTTTCCTTTCGCATAAATACATCTATAGTATACATCTATCCTCTCTCGATTGTTCTGACCCCTTCCTGATAACAAGAGAACCAGTCCATTTACTACTCATTATTCTACTTTTTTCCATCTCCAATCTAAACTCCAATTCAGATCACACTGACAATGATACCACAGAGTGGGGTGATTGACTGTGCTACCATGGAAACAGATCGATCAAGTAGGGGCTTAACAACAACAACATCTGTCTTCAGTATACGCCGATGCTCAAACTGTGCTGACCGGTGGTGATTATGTTCAAATTCAACAATCAATAGGACAAGACTAATGAATGATCATCCATCGCATAAGTAAAGTATTAAGGACGAACCACATCGTGCTAGTTCTAAAGTTCTTTGAGTTTTTATTGAAAGAATTTATTTTGAAAATTATAGTCACACTTCAATCTTCACTTATCAACAAGGTTTTTCTACCCATACGGCATGAAACTGATACTGCCCGGATGATACCCGCAGTGTCATCGTACCACTCTGTGCGTCTTCTGACAGTTGCTTCACACCACTGACAACGTTGATCAGTGATAAATCATCCATTGAACTAGCGTGAATATGTTGATGACAGTACAGTGATGACCGTTGCCATAATAACTTCTGATCAACATAAATGGAATGGCATTGACCAGACTTCAGTAGAGGATCAAATGAGATGATACCTTCCAAAGTTGTTGGTATCGTGACAGTCATCTTCACGACGTGCTGAGACAATGATGGTATGGATAATTGTTCTAGAAAATCTACCGCTCTTGTCCAAGCAACTTTCACTATGCCTTTTTGTGTCTTGACCGTTGCTGATACAGTCTTCAATAATGTTGCATCATATGTCATACGAGGATGAATGTGTATTCGATACTCGGCCAATGATAAGTGAAATCCTGCTAGATAACGATAAAACCAACTGCCAATACTATTGAACATGTGATGGTTGAGCGAGGAGTCAGCTGAATCAGGTAATGTATTCCATGTTTCCCATGTCGTTGTGGCATTTTGTATTGGATTATTGAACATATGACCATAGGATGGATAAGTGGTGGAACTGGCTAATTTTACTGCTAAATCATGATTACCGTTGCTAGATAATAAAGGATATACTTGAGCCACACTAACAATTCCACCAGTGAAGTGCAGATTTTGACTTTTAATATTATTCAGTAATGATTCCCACACAGTCGTTTGTATCTCATCAGGTACGACATTGGGTAATGCCAGAGCTAAAACATTGGCAGCTTGGCTATTATCCGCATATCCTCTCAGTGTTCCATCATAAAACACCATATGAAATTCTTTTGCCAATGTATGATACAGCTCGGTATAATTCTTCACATTCTCTGTTTGGTTCAATATTGTTGAAATGTTAATGAAACGATGAATATCGTGCAGATAGGCAAAGGAGGAGATTAACGAAAGATTAGTCATTGGTGCAGCGGGCACCCAATCACCCCAATGTCCGAAGAAGTGAGCCAAGCCAGTTTGTCGGTACTGCCTTGTTAAACAATCGATCCAAGCTCGGATACTAGTGTAATATTGTTGTAGGATTGTGATATCACCTGTGTGCTCATACAATGCCCATGTTATTTTGATATAGGCAGTGCCCCAATTGGGATCAGCTGGTGAGAATCCGACAGTGAATGGTACTGTATCAGAAATTGCGCCATCTGCAGCTTGGTTATCCTGGATCATGGTTAGAAAATTCAAATAAAACTGTATCAAATCAAAATTGAATAATGCTTCATCTACGGAAAGACCGGCATCACCCATCCAGCCTCGTCTTTCATTTCTTTGTGGACAATCAGTGGGTAAGGACATGGTATTACTCAATTGTGACCATAAAATATTATGTTGGATTTGATTTAAGACCACCGAAGATGATGAGAAGTTCCCGATCAAACTTGTTTGTGTATGCACGGGATAACATGTTACTTGTGAACTATCAACATTGGGTAAACCATTCACTAAGAGATACCGAAAGCCATGATAGGTAAACATCGGTTCAATGGTTTCATTTACAGAACCATTCAAAACGAATGTATCAGTAGCAGCAATAGAATCTAAATTCTCTGTATCAATACCATTGAATCTAATGCCATTAGTACCCTGTGAATAACGATATTCAGAATGACGTAATTGTACGATATAACTAGTTGGAACGTTGATGCCAGTCACTCGACACCAACCAGCAAAGTTCTGACCTAAATCAAAAATCTGTCCATTAGCATAATCAGTTCCAATAGGTGTTAATACACCGTGGAATTTGGTCAAATCAGCGCCATATGGATAGCTCGCGACTATACTGTGTGTAATATCGTCGGTGGTGCTGAGATCTGGAATATGTAATGCATCAAATCCAGCACGTATAGGAGGCATTCTTTGTAAACTAAAAGTACCATTCTGCACAGGTGATGATAGAATAGAAGCATTGATCCATAACGATGTATTATCAAAAAATGTCACAGCAGAGAATGTGGGCCGTGCTGCACGATAATCGACGACAGTGCCCATATAGATGTTATCCGATCGATGTTCCGCTTCACGTCCCAGCCATGTCTCGTCACTGTTAATGTTGATGGTAGATTTGTCACTTAGACATATTATCAAGTGAAAAATGAACCGAGGTGGTCCATATTGTGTACTGAGTTCGGTCCTCGGTCCTAGACCAATTATCCACTGCTGTCGATTATACCAGCCTTGCCCCAAAATGACTCCAATGGCATTGGCACCACTAGTCAAGAATTTAGTCACATCATACGACACATATAATGTCCGTTGCTGATAAGTAGTCCACCCAACATCCAACTTACGAGATGGATCGACTGGTTGTCCATTAATATGCAATTCATAATATCCAACCCCACTAATAGCGACAAAAGCTGATGTGATCGCTGATGATGATTCTATGTTAAATGTTTTGCGCAATTGATTCATGTTGATCATATTACTACCAATCCATTGTGATCCATTAAATGCATCGAAGAATACTGTACGGAATTTTGCAATGAACCAATCACTCTCCGTCCCATCAGTCGACCAATACCTCAGATGCAGCTCATAACGGCGATCTGTAGCAAACATGGGACCATTGTATCGTACTGTAGTGGACGACGATTCTCTCGACTCACTGTCCCATAACAAGATTGATGTGGTGGCATCATGTGCAGGTCGTTCATATATTTGAATTTGATAGGCCATTTGCTGAATATCACGCTGCTGTTGATTATTATTTGAAAATGTTGGCAAATTCCATGAGATGATGGGCGTATGTGTATCGATGACGACATCATTATATTGTTCTAGCAACCAATATTCAATACGAACATCGATGGGTTGATTGGTCTTAGATTCCAAGTGCCAAGGTGCAACATCACCAAGCAGCCACAACAGCCCAACGAAAATTCTCAGCATGGTGGTGTGTTTTCTAGTGTTTAGACTCTACTATCAGAAATAAGTCAAGAGCAGGTTTTTGCAAATGCAACTATGCTATCAAAAGAAGGAGATATCTTATGTTCTACTACAATGCGGGTCAATTTTCTCCATAGAGTACGTGGATAATGAAGTATTCAGCAATGTGGAATAGCGCTTCGAATTTAGTTTTTCAAATGAAATTCGAACCGTTGTGATATACATTGCCGTATACCTAATTGTGTCCGGTTTCTGGTGCCAATATATTAGCAGTCTCCTTCTCCGTCCTTGAGATTATGAAGTAATGGACGTAAAAGAAGCGCTAGAATTCAATATTACCTAAGAAAAAATGTCTCAAATAAGCTTCACTTCTGAGATCTTCAACAGTAGTTTTTGAAAAACCGTACTCATTTTTATTTGAAGTGTAATATGCTATTACTCTCTGAGCCATCAATTTATCTTTTTTGAAAAGTTTTTGAAATTTTATGTAAGTCATTATTGTTAAGTAAGCTTCTGGAAAAACTTCTGTACAACTGTCGAGAAGCCAAAACTTCAGATGTACAGATATATTCGCTTGTTCCTCTTTTCTTTACGTCCAATCGTAGCAGAAGAAAAACCTGGTGCACTTGCTGAGCAATAAGGCAGTCCGACCTCCGCATGGAAAACGGGAATGAGATGACTATTGAGAAAAATTAGAAAGGTAAAAAGCAGAAAGTCAGATGTCTTCCAATCGTGGCGACTATCATAGTTATTCGTTATTGTTTGAAGTATCATCTTAGCAATTTATGGTATGAACTGATTCGCTGAGGAATATCTCACAGATGGAACACTGTGGAAAAATGCAACGGAGTCTCTCAAATACTTACAATTTTAATCTTCCTTATCGTCTGCTTCACTTTCGAAAAGCTTCTTTTAAAACAGTGCGCATATATGTGATGGTGTTGTTGTCGATTTATCTTATCAGAAAGATATTATATTTGTTCTTTTTCTGTAGTTTCATTGTGTTATTGCAAAACATCAACAGGCAAAATGAACCATGTTCACGTGGCAGAATGGGTCGGTTAGAGCCTATCGTTGTTCCAAAATGGAGCAGCTACACTACACAACAACAACGAACACACACTGAGATAAGTAGCATAAGAATACAGATACAGAACTGAGTAAGTGTTCTAGAATCACTTAGCACAAGAAAAGAGAGAGTACGTGAGAACACAAAAGAAGATAACATTGAGACGATATGAGCACAGAACAAGAGCAGCGATAACATAGGCAGACGCATACGCATACTCTTGGAAGAGCTGTACGGGTGTGGGTGTGGGTGTGAATACAGCTCTTCTCTCTACTTACATCCACACCCACACCCACATCCGCATGTGCGTTGTTACGCGTATGACTGCTTAATAATACTTCAAATAAGTGAGGCGTATGCATATAAACTGTAAAGAAGTAAACAAATATGATGTCAGTTTGTCGATATTTTGTGTAGATATCTGCATGATGGTGATTGTAAACTACTTCAAATCGCAGAAAAAAAGTCTATCAAAACTACAACAAATGGCTGCGTGTAGACATGTGCAAAGCAGTGGAGCAGATTCAACTTAACTGAATTTGCCAAAATTTTCCTTCATATAGCTCATCAAAGAGTGCTTATTGCTTTATTTCTGATAACAAATCGTATACTTGCAAAAGTGATTCAACATAACCCCACCATTGAAAATGACTCAAGTTTTTCGATATTTTCAAACACTATTTACAACTTGTTTATGGTGGAGTTTCATGATAATAACCATAAATTTACTTTTTCTAAAATTGCCACTCGTTATATATTTGGCTTCCATTATTTTTATCAATAGAACTAATTCGATTAATAGCAATAATCAAGTAGCTATCTTAAAAGCTATCCTTTCCAGTAATTAAAGTTGCATATAGTTTAGGCTTTCTTTATGCATATAGGGCTGCAATTTGAGGAGTACCGAAGTAAGTTTATTTTATAAATAACTGCCGACATAAGAACAGGAATATAACAACAGTGAGATACTTAATGCGTGTGTGTATTTCATAGCTTTCACTGGAGAATACTTCATACATTAAATAGAAGAGAATTACAGGTCTGGCTTTTTTTTGCTTTGCACAATTTATATTATTATTTCTTTCGGCCAAATTCAAAAACTAGAAATGAATAAGAAAGATATTGTTATCAGTTACGTGTCTCAAGAATGTTTATTCTAAAACACATTTTGAATTCGTAAATTTATCTCGAGAGTATAGTTAAATGTTGAATATTAGCAATACGAATATTTTCAATTTTAATCAATAGTTCAATACTTATGTAAAGCTAATGATCGAACAACCCGGATACATAATAAAACCAGTAAAACCTAAGCAGTTCCTAAAAAAATAAAAAAGTATCGTTGTTGAACTACATATTCGTTGTGGATCCTTTTGATTCTTCTAATAGGAGGCACCATAATTTTTGATCTGATGGGCTCAGTCCTCGAGTCTCCTTCGTAGCGCCGCTACAATCAGAATCTGGTTTATCCCTTTCATTAGTTTTGTCTGCAAACAGAGTTGGAAATCAGCTACGAGGACCACTTCTAGTAACTCTACCCACTTGTATCCACTATTGACTATGATTTACATTCCGTAGCCATTTCGTTTGCAACTTTATGAATTCAAAATTACTTCACCTGACTATTCATTTTTGCATTATGCTTTTTTTATATTATAAGAATTGTTAACAACATGTGACATCTGTTGATGATTTATTGTCTTTTCTTTCTTTGTGCATTGATAGAATGGGTTTTTTTATATCTTATGAAATGTCTCCAGCAATTCGTTCTGTAATTTCTTGCCAGGTTAGTGTTTCATCATACGATTAAGTTACATCTGTTCTATGAGTGTCGCTATAGAAATATTGATGTAATTTGTTACTATATAAATGCTCTATAAAATCTTTTCGCAGCACAGAATAACTAAAATTATCAATGGATGCACTTGTTGGGTCTATTATAACTGAACTTAAATTAAACGACCATCAAATTACAAATATTTATAATTATGGTTCATGAGTTTATGGTACAAATCATGAAAAATCTGATCGAGATTTTCTTTTTGTAATACAAACTAGTAAACGAAATCGACGAAAACCTTTAAGATTTCACAAAGATTTTGATTATTTTCATTCATTTGAATTACATCGAATAAATAATTGTGATATAACAATTCACACATGTAAAAATTTTGAATTATTATTAAAAAAAAATTATATGTTAGCAGTCGAATGTTTGTTTTATCCAAATGAATTTATTTTAAGAAATAATATTGATTATAAATCAATTTACTTATCTCAATATTATAATCCATTACGATTAAAATACGTATCATTTTATGAAAATTATTGCAGTTTTGATTATATAATTAATAATGGTGATGAAGGTGATACTGTATTTCAATTAAATTCACATTCAAGTATGCAACAATTTTTATGTGATGCTCTTCATACAACAACTATAGATGAAGATCGAATACTTAAATATTTATTTCATGGTCTTAGATATTTGGATATCAGCGAACAATTAATTCGAACAAAAACAATTTCTAATTTTAAACGTGTATCGTATATTCTATCTGAATTGAAAAGTATTTATGTAAATAATATGAAAAATATTGATTATGTTATTGATTATATTACAACAAAAGCTAATGAATATAAACAAATAATCAATGAACTTGTACCAACAAATATTGATGGTACATTTAAAATTCATATTACAGTTGATAATCATAACATAGACAAATTTTTAAATATTTGTAAAGTAAATAATTTAAAAGTTGTTTGTATATATTTAAATGATGATGTTTCTATTCAACAATTAATGACATCTTCATATCATGTTGGAACATATCCTGCTATAATTGAACTAATGAGAACATTAATTGACAATCTATTTAATGAAATTCATATCCGAAGAATGAAAATTATATCATTAATATTAAATAATGGTGTACCAGAAAATGATATCGATAAATTATTATTGTGGGATAAAAAGTCGAACTATTTCGAATTTCATTATAAATTGAAGGTGACATCAGAAAGTAGATTACATAAATTAAAAGATTTATGTAGAGAACAAAATCTTCATTTGGTATCTAAGTCACCTGAAAAGCCATTAACAAAGAAAGTGCATTATATCGTTACAATGCGATTATTTAACTGTGGTAGAAGAAATGCATGGACTAGAAATGATTTTATCAGTAGACATTTGCATCAACGACGATTTTATCCATTAAGAGTCAAAGAACAATTCGTAGTTTATGATTCAAACATTGCTTTGGATAATCCATGGAGTACCGCAGATGTTACCCGAACTGCTGGTGGTCCTAAATATCGAATTGGTGGTAAATATAGAAAAGTACCTCCTCGATCTAGTGTGTAAAAAAAGTTGTTATAACGAATCATTTATTATTTTTGAGAACATATCGAACTCGTTAAAATAATAATCAAAAAGTGGCTATATAGAGCATCACTCAATTCATCGGCAATGAATAGTTTAATAAGTAGAAATACAAATCTAGAAGGTTTCTCTTGTCAAAAGTCCTATGGCATATACTATATGAATGCCAGTGGTGATGGCAGCTTATATATCTATTATAAAAGTTACTCAATCCTTAATGTAAACTTTTTGGAAGCGTCGACCGATGAAAAAATAAAATTTCAAAACTGCGGTTTCGTTCGGAGGTCTCTAAAAAAACCGGCGTTCACCGCTGTTTTCACCACAACCTTCGGAAAAAACAGCGGTACGCTTTCTTGCAACCGCGGTGTATATTGATCAGTCAATGAGTGTGTAAGGACAATTAAGATGTCGTGCTCTACTTTCTCCATGAAATTCATCGAATTTTATTGAGATAGTTAATCTGGCTTTACAAAGTTACTTTGTAGAAACGAAGTTCCAAAGAGTTCACAACATTTCCTCTAGAACGGCCCCATACAAGAAACCTTCAAGGTTCAGGTAAACGTCGGTGCTTCAGAGTCGCCCGATTCTGGTGTGTCCTGGAAAGTATTTTCATAAAATCGCGTTTTGTACCGGTCTTTTGATGCAGTGGTACGCAGATGATTAATGCGGTTCCAAAAACTACGACATTCAGATGATTTAATCTTTCTTTGAAACCGATGACTAACTTTTTTTTTCTCAAAAGTTTTTCCAGTGGGGGCTCTCGATTTGCGCTTCCTTCAGTTGAGTCAACAAGTAACAGAATGATATTAAGCATGATCTAAATAATCAGTTAACCTTTATACCGTTAGAATAATCAATATTTCGATAACTTGTTCAGGATGCGTGTGTGGGTCTGGTTGTGGGTGTGCCTGCCGGTGTGTGGTGTGGGTATGGGTGAGTGTGGGCGTGTGTGGTTTTGGCTGTCGTTATTTATATCATCACACTCATAACCACACCTGCACACCCACCCATACCTTTTTCCAAGGTTTAATTTTAATATCATCTTTCAATGCTCTTTGGGCACTACCGTACGAAGATTTCAATTGTTTACGTGTCAACAATGCATTTGTTTTTCGAAAGGATTTTCTTCGTTTATTTTCAACATTAGATTTAACTAATGATATGAATTTGATTGTTCTTGTTGTTCTGGGTCGTCCGGATCTTCTTTTTGGATCTATTGTACCTCTTTTGATTGTATAATTTATATAACGAACAAGCGCATGCCTTGTCTGTAATGGTGGACAATCACTATTTTGTAATTCATCAGCAATATTACTTGATGACCAATTTCCATGCAAATCATGTAAAGTTAAAATTTGTTGTCTAAAATTTTTTATTTACGAGACATTCACACTTGTGATAATGGATAAAATCAAAAAATTCAATATTGAAAAAAACTAATCCAAAAAAAAATCTTGAAAAAATCACTGAAATTGATTGATGAACAACCGCCAAAGATAAAATCTAGCCAATCACAGTTGAAGACATGTTTGACAGGTATACTAAAGACATCTAACTGATTTTTCAAAGTAATTCTATTTATCATCATTCTCCAAATATTATTTTATATTAATCAATTCGTTTTCTTTGTTTTCCATTTTTTTCTTTTTCTTAATGGAGATCGAAACTATGCAAACTTTACCACGTCATAGGAAAAAAGATTCTCACTATTATATGAGTGTATAAATCTTCTTTGTAAGTGAGAACTAGAAGTGTGAAAATTTAGGATAATATTCACCTAGTTGCAAGCTATTACATACCCAAGTTTTGAGAATTTTTTGATTTGCAAAAAAGGGAGAAAATAAAATTTTTATATGAAGTACCAAAACTTTTGGATCACCCTTTATTCTGGTTTATATTATTGTGCCTTGTATATATATGTAATACTTACTATGATAGATGATCAAGAATTCTGATGACCTAAATCCTAATTGTTCAATACATGTAATAATAACAAAAAGACAGAAGAAAAAAATAATGAGCTATTGATAGTAGTACTAATAGTAGTGTTTTAAGAATATCTATGTGGATTCTAGAAGATTTGGAAACACAAGAAATTCACAACATAATTTCATATGTTCATCCAATCAATAAGAAACTTTCTCCTGAATTTAAATTATAATGGATGAAAATAGTCTCTGTTGGCACCGGGAGCTTTGCATGAATAAAGAAGTCATTTATATATTCTGCCCCATTGAATAAAAAAGAATCATAACCAGTTATCTTGGCTTCATCGACAATAAATAGAATTTCACCAGTAGATTTTAAGCGTATGATTCTGACTATTATTCTAAGACGAAGATTGTTTGAATCATCCGAGTAAATCAAAGCTGAGTCATTCACCTAGTTCCTGGTCGAACTATGAACCTTGAAAGGCACGTCTCCATAAAAGCATAAGGTATGATAAGTGTATTGCCCGTTGCCGTAAGTGTTCTCGAGATATGTGGTCACATGTAAAATGTTAACAGGTGTTGTACGAGACAGGTGAATATCAACATCTTTTTTAATAGACGTTGGTAAAGCACGTTTCTTGGAAGAAATTATTTGACTGATAAGTAGATCAATTTTTGGATGAAAAGATGGATTTTGAAAACATTAATAGCATGAGATATGAGCTTAAAGTTATTTATCAGTCCAGCTGCAATCACTGACGGACCATATATGGATTTCATGATTGATCCTAATAAACAAGAACGACAGTAGGTCAGATATGTACAAATATTTGCTGAATTCGGAACAAAAAATCTCTTTTAATATGATTTAAAAGCGTTAAAATACATCAGGAAAATATCTCTCACAAAACTTAGAAATTCCATATTGCAATTTGAAAGATGCGTGCCAATAAAGTACAATAAATTTTATTAATTCATCGTTGTTTTTCTTTGAGCGGAAGGAGGCATAAGATTCTAGGACGAATACTCTGATTTTGAATTGTGTAAGTCAATATTTTATAGGTTAGTGCATTAAAAAATGGCCATAAGTATATCGAAATAAGAATACGTATCAATTTAACGTTTACATCAAATGCTAAATTGAGTTGCTCCTAAGTTATTACGTATAATTATCTTTCATCGTTTGAATAATTGATTTATATAAATATCTGAAACTGTTGATTAGTGAAATAGGATCTCTTAGAATGGAATGAATCAAACATACATACCTACTGAACTTTCGAAATTGAAGTTGATGTAATTATAGAGAGGGCCAAATTTTAGTAATGTTTGATGAACGTATGCTAGAGAGTGTACGATCGGAACGTAATTTGATTCCTTTCAAGGTAAAAGCAGAGGAGAAAAAGTAAAAGAAAAAAAACTAGAAAATAATTATCGATATACACAAACTGTATAACAAATGAAATTGATTGAGAAATGTATCAAAGAGATTTTTGATTTGATGCAGTCGGTTTGTGCTTAATATTTGAGTTTCAGAATAAATTGCAGCATATGCTAATTAGATGATTGATGATTCTTGGGAGCTTGAACCACACCAGCAGTCGCATGGCTTACATTCCTATAAAAGAACAAAGATATAAATAAACGAACATTATTTTCAATATTAATATACAGTCAACCACTCACATTTATGTTTGATCTTCATTATTATGAAGTAATTGTTCTGTTGATGATAAACAAGAATTTGATGAACAATGATGTTGATTATCAACAATAAGTGAAGGAGATTTTATAGCACATGAATATATATCAGATCGACTGTTTTCATTTGTTAACAACGACTTATTAATACCACGACGTGCTTCAATATTCTTAATAAATGATGAAGTTAAGTTCATATGATGAGAAGCGGCTGTTGTCTTAGGAATGTTTGATGAAAAATCAACTTCGACAGTTGAATCTGATTGATCAATATCACATGTATTTGTGTTGACCGATGCGTTTCTCTTGTTCATTTCACGAGTTACAACGCCAGTAAAATCATCTAACATACTATATTCAGTTTCACATGAACCTACTTAAAAAAAAGAATTTCAAATTCTTTTGAACATGCTTGTTGAACAGTGCTTCCAAAACTCTCAGTAATATTTTAACTAATCTGGTACCTTTTTTCGCACGACCATAGAAATTTGTTACATCAATAAGATTTGTATCACGTTCGACATCGTTCGTTGATGAATTCGACGATGTCATCTTGGAGTAGTTTGAGTTCTTATTTTTTCGTTTTGGCATTGATAAATATCGAAAAATAAAGAATATATATTTTTAAACAAGTGCTAAAGAATATATCTGGAATTGCATATACACATATTTATGTCTAATATCTTTAACCGAGGAAAAAATAGGCGAAAAAATGCAGCGAAACTTTAACTTCACATCTCAGCTTGTCTTTGAATAAATGAATCGTACTGACTAAGGAAGGTCGATCTGATCATTATACATTGTTCGTTTTCTGTGTTCAAATTCCTTTTTTATTTATCGGGATTATACAGTCTTTGTGCTTCTTAAAATATCTGTCGATTTTGTCTGACTAGACGAGTCATTTACTCATCCGTCAAAGCCGATAATATTTCGTTTCTTTCTCCACTTCTCTTCTATTAGCTGACTCTCTGTCTTGCATTAGATTAGATTTTCAACCAGTGATATGCATAGCATTTTTTTTCCGTGAATTATACAGAAGATCTGTAACCTATTTTAAAATTAGACTTCCTACTTAGACAAACGAAATAAAAACTATAAATTTACTATGTGAGATTAAATTACAAAAATTATGTTTTTATGAGCTTGATTTGCCTGACCTCTGTTGTGCGTATGTTTTAAATTTTCCTGATTGTCATCTCTTTATAATTATAAAAAACATTCGGATTCCTCGCTTTAAACAGATTTGATTAGGGGTGGTAAATTAGCATTAGTATTAAAACTAACCCTAATGCTTTAGCATTATTGGCATTAGTATTAAGTAATGCATGGGTGTTAGCATTAAATTAGCATTATTTTTAACACTAATACTTGGATTCAGAATACAGTAGAAAATTGTTCTGTTTTCGGGAATATGACTCATCGATGACTCATCAATGAGTCATATTCTTGAAAACAGAACAATTTTCTACTGTATTCTGACACCAAGTATTACTGTTAAAAATAATGCTAATTTAATGCCAACACCTATGCATTACTTAACACTAATGCCATTAATGCTAAAGCATTAGGGTTAATTTTAATGTTAATGCTTAATGCATTAGCATTAGTATTAATAAATGCCAATGCTAATTCTAATGCACCACCCCTAGATTTGATAGTATCTCATCATAGTTCTAAGCAAACATTTAAAATCCACAAAAAGTGACTTAAATTACCACACTACTTGTGTAAATGTTGAAATGTATTTTTCGATATGGTCTTCGATCGGTGACCTTGTGATTTATTCGAGTGGAAAATTCACATTGTCATACGCAGAAATTATATCGGATCAAACTTTCTATAGATAATTGCTTTTTCTATTTAATGTTCTGAATTTTGTTTCAGATATAATATAACGTTTTCTTTCAAAAATAGCGGATGAAATAACAGGGTTCGTGTGGCGCCATCTATAACAAAATATTGAAATTTTCTCAAAAATAACTGAGTTCAATCCAGGGCTCGAAACGGGCCACCCGGCCCAGTGGACCGGCCCGGCCCGCCCGGCCCAACGAAGCTTTTCTTTCGGACCGGGCGGGCCAATCGGTAAAAATTGTTGGGCCGGGCGGGCCAAGTTTTTTGCCGGGCCACCCGGCCCGGCGTTTTA